AATGCACCCCCTACTCAGGAAGTCAGGGGAGGGAGGGAGGGAGGGAAGGCCTCGGCGACGCGGCTTCATTAGCAATTATGCTCGCCTCTCTCCACCCACAGCCACCGCCGCGCGTGTAAATATTTACCAATTAAAATGTGGGGTGACTCTGAAGGGCTGGGAGCTTGTAGCGCGTGTTGTTCCTGGCCACCAGATGACAGGGAGACGATAACAATACGGCGGCGTTTGGGTGGGTGGGTGGGGGGAGACGAGGGAGGTTGCTCATGCCATGTCTGTCTATGTCAATGTAGGGAGGCTTTGAATGCTCTAAACACAATGTGGATCACAAGTAGGGCCATGAATTCAAATCAATATCACGATTATTTCAAACCTCGATTACGATTAATGAACGATATTTATATGCTTTTTTTACACACTGCCCTCATAGTTCTCTGACAAGGTATTACTGTAAATATGCTAAACTATTAAAGCTGGGATATTTTCTCTAATGAAGGAGTGCATATCTTATCTTTGATTTTAAAATAATGTAAGGAAAGACACACAGATAAACTATTTATTGAACAGTTGAATCAAAGTCTTGGTGTGACCAAAACTTGTGAAAAAGGTCACATTTAAGTAAAAAGCAAGTTCCCTTAATAAGTAGAACATATTTACTTGCATCTCTTGCAAACAGAATACAATTATTTTAAATAATGCCTTGTGGAAAGTAGAAAATAATAACTCGCATCTCTTGTAAACAAATAATACAGCAACACTGCTGATTAAGAGCAAGAAATATGCCGCCTCACGGCTGTTTGTTGTGCAGGCTCCATTCATCGCCAACGTGTGTAGTGCAACGCAAGTAAGTAAATCATATCTTTGTATTTTTAGGCTGAATTGCGATACACAATATAAATCTCGGTATTTTCTACGAAGTGGGCTAATTGTTCAGTTGTAAGTCAAAGCCACATGTGAGATGTCACAAGCACTTTTATTAAAACACACTGATCAAAACTAAATGCAAAGACAGGGTTTCCTTCCCTGTTTGAAAATACACAGCTGCACAATATTTCAACATGTAAATGAAAAATGATATAAAATAAATAGCCTATATTAAATAAAAATAGACCTATCTCTCAGAATGCTCCTTCAGTTGTTTTCGACAACAATAACAGACAACAACAGTTAAAATAGAGTACAATTACAGGTTTTCCTCTCCTGCTTAACAAAATACACAGCTGTGCAAATAACAATAAAAATGTAGGTAGAACAAAACAGGTCTACTTGCTCTGACAGAGTAGTTAAGTTTTAGTAGTTAAGCTCAGTTCGACGATCAGCCATGTGCACTGTGTTTACATGTATTACACAATCGCTCCGATCCGTCCGCCTCTTCAGCTCTGCATTCTGGATGTATGCACACTTTTTTCCCTGGGTTAGGATTTAGGGAATACCACAAATTATACCTCGTTGGAAAGCTCTGGAGACATGGAAAAAGACCGTGGGTATGTGCTGTTTGGAAAATGTACGTTACTATCTCTTTGATAGAGATATACATTATTTGAACATAATTCAAATACATTATTCTTCATAGCATTTGCAGACTTTCTATGAGAAAGACTTTTGGATCTATTGTAAACAAGTAACAATATCCAGAGACCTTATTCAGATTGTTTTGGCTAAAGGATACAGAACAACTTTGCTTTCACCTTCCATGCCAGTTAGACAATTTATCCAAGCCTGCTCCCTGGAACGGACATAGCCAGCATCATTTGGGAGCCAGATTTGAACATAAGGAGGATGCTGCTACTGGCCTACACAGGGTTTGTTCAACTTCTCTGCCTCAATATTGCTTAACGCTGAAATTTGAGGGGAAAAGAAACGATTGGGTGAAAATCTCAAAATAACTTTTGAGACCAAAGCAACAGTATGGCTCTGTCATCTCTAAGATGTACTTCTACAGGTATGCCCATTCACTGATCGCTGATACAGATACAGATTTGCAGCCCTTTGTTAAATCGATCGGGGAGTTGGCAATGGAAAAAAACCGAGAATTGTGCCAGCCTTATAAAACACAACTTGGTTGAGGTTGATTTATAAAGATAACATAGTTGCACATCACATGTATGCTATACAGAATCAAAGGGGCCAATTAGCCAATCGTTCGCATACCAAGGAGAACGTATGGACTTGTCATCTTCGTAGACCAAGAGTACAGCAAATGCTACCCGACATTACAACCTTTTTTTGTTGTTGCTGCAACTGACAGGCGTTTAGTGACCATCATTATCTCTTTGATGATCTAGAACACACACGCGCTAAAAGAAGTACAGTTGTCCGCTTCCTGGGCTTGTCGCTGCGCCGGACCAGACTGACACGGCTGACCTTATCCTCCGGTGCTGCCGGCAGAGAGGCGGCCGATGGGATGAGTGGAGCATGCAAATGAGCTCCGGCAGCCAATCGCCTGCAGATGCCTGCCTGGGTCTTAATCAGATTGGATCGTCGACGTCCATGGCACACATGCCGAGATGTCCCCCCCCCCAGCCCCCATTGAACTCGACTTTGCTCGTCCACCCCTACACCCAACCTCCCCCCTATTCTGCATCTCTCGCAGCCCACCCCCCCCCCCCCCCCCTTCTTACCCACAAGTCCCTTCCCAAGCCACCAGGGGGCTTAGCCTTCCCCTTCTCTCTCTGTCTGGCTTGCGCTTTTCGAAGCTGTGCCAGATTCTCAAGACACTTGGCTCAGCTCGGTGTTTACTTCCACGAGGTCGGGTGTTGTTCCATGGAAAATAAAGGTGGAGTAGGTCGAGGGGAGGGGGCGTCGGGCGGGTGGCCTTATTTGTTTGAAAGGTAAAGGTATTCAATATCAGGATAGTCAAGGCCTAGTCAAGGATGAATGGGAACACTTAGCCGTCCTTGGTTCTCGCGCTGCTCGGCTCATTGGTCGGCTGCTCTTTGCTCCAGCGGGAAGAGGAGCCCCAGAAGTAGCCTTGTGTTCAAGACAGGTGTTTAATGCATCTGGGAGTTAGCCCTTATTTATTTTTAGCTACTGAGCTCGAGGGTTTCCTCAAAATGTGTCCTTTGTCTTTTGTCCTGCTGTGTGCTCCCGTATCTGTCACTCATCATTTTTCACCACTAGGCTTAAAGGTCTTGTTTTGCGACACACCAGACGGTTGGCAGGTTATGCAAACACAGCCTGTGCCTAGCTGTGTGACTGTACAGCTGGAACGGTTCATTTACCAACGCAGCCTTATCCACATGCCATTGTCTTGGCATCTGTTTTTTGTAGTAGTTTTGTAGTTCAATACTCCTACTTTCAGCTATGATTTATACGTCAGAAGAGGTATTCATTATTCTGCATTTTAATACGGATTGATACAAATGATCCAATTAGGAGTTTGCGGAGAGGTAATAGGCAATGGTAGCTATGACAATGTTACGCCACATGGGTCTAATGGGCAATGACTGTAAAGAAGGATATGTCTTAAAAGATGAGAGCATTTAAAGCCTGCCATAATCATTTTCAATTTGGTAAGGAGACATGCGTTCATAGTTTATAGAGCATTTCTAATTACTCCCCCCTCTCCCTTTCCCTTCCTCCTCTCTCGTTCTTTCCCCCCTCTCTTTCTCGCTCTGTCTCTCCTTTTTATACGCACTCTCTATTTGTCTGTAGTGTCGAGTGACTTAGCCATGGTGGATTTAATGACAGTTCCCTCATAACCACAAGCCGTTTCTTATGCTTTAATGAAGGAAAGTGGTTTCGCTTTCTTCAATTTGTTTCCTTCGAGAATGTAATCACCTTGTTTGCAGTTGTAACGTAAAGGGCACAAGAAATTAGCAAACGTAAACAAACACAAACATCAAGCAATTGTTGCCTAAAGTGATTTACAATTTAAAGCGAAATTGTGCCTGCTAACGTTTCACATTTCAGACATGCTATAGAAATCTAATAACATTAACAATATAGCTTCATTTGAGGATCATTCCAGGTTTTCAGGAGACTTCAGTAAGTCATTATTACACAAGCTAGCTTCTAGGTACAACAGCTCCTCTGTACAATGAAACATGGGTGCAGTTGACATCTAATAGTTTCATCAAAAAGATGTAATACCTTTAAATGAGATTCCCATTGTAGAGTAGTATGCACCGTATATCAAGATGTAAAAACAACACCAACAACCTAGGAGTGTTGCTGGAAGGAAGTGAACAAGCCAATCACTAATCAACTCAATCAACAGAGAAGAGTAAAGTCTATCTATACATCTATGGCCTTTAATTCATTGAACTGCGAGACCCCTGACTCGTATGGACTTATCTGTGTGTATGGACTCTTTGGACATTTAAATGTTGTGTGAATGTTTTTATGTGCTGTTTTAATGTCTTTTTATGAGGATTGAAGAGATGTGTAAATGCAAGACACATTTCTGTGTAAACGGACATTAAAGTTGATCTTATCTTAACTTATCTTATCTTAACTACAGCCAAGATGACCTTGAGCAAGGCACTTCGAGCCCAAGTTAAAGTGGCGCATTAAAGTTAAGCAAGGCGGTACAACCCATTGGTGCAGGCCTTATATCGGCGAGTCATGTAGATTCATATCACAAGTCATTTGTCAAGCCTAGAAAAAGGCAAAAACGACCAAAGAACATTTGTAAAAGTGATCAACTCAGAACTTTGTAGTTTATTTCTAATTCCTCTGAACTTGGATAAAAGGAACGTCGGCTGTTTGTTCCTCATGGAAACCCCCCCAGCGGCGGGTGAGGATGGGAAGACGAGAGGAGCGCCCCCACCACTAAGCTGCTCGGAGACCGCTACGCCTTCGACAGCCATCGCAGCAGACTTATCTTAGTTGCCAATGGTGGAAGCCATTGTGAATGTGGAGTCAGTGTCGCCAGAGCCCACAAAAGCTGTTGTCATATACTGTTGAAATCCTTCTTTAGAAAAAAACATTATGAAAAGGACTTTAATACAGCCCAACACCGCTAACCTTGAACGCTGTCCATGTTATATACAGTCATTTGTGTTCCTGACTAGCTCAACTGGGAAGAGCATGGCGTTAACGTCACCAGGTTTAGGGGTTCGATTCCCACTGGGACCACCCATGCTAAAAATGTATGCACTCACAGTATTGTAGGACGCTTTGGATAAAATCATTTTAAAGGGAAGTTGATAAGTGGGCGCTACAAATAAGAGGGAGATGTTTATACTCAGCGACATGTGTTCTGTTGAGGAAGTTGATAAATATAACTAACATAATAATCTAGAAAAATCTAAATTAGTTGAAATTCTCTAATTGCCAGGTGGGACAAAATCCCAACTGCAACAACACCTTTTCGAGTCATCACCACCACCGCTGCCCAACCCATTTATCCTTGGGTGAGATCCAGTCACCCAAACCTTTGTTTGAAGACAGGGAACAGTTGGAGCGTTTAGCCCGGCCAACGTCTCCCCTCTGCCCTTGACTTCTTGCGGTGAACTTGCCCTGCCTGCCGCATCATCCCCGCACTGCTGGGCACCGACACGCCAGGATGACACGCGACATGTCCCCAGACTCCCTGAGATGAAGGGTGGGTGGTTAGAGGGGTGAATGGTGGCGGTGGCGGTGGTGGTGAGCGGTGTGGTGGGTGGGTGGGTCGTCATTTATCCTCTACCTTGTGCAGCACCACCCCCTTTTTTTGTCTCTGCTCCTTTTTAATTTCCCTGCACCTTGTTTTCTGTCAGCCGATGATGCATAATTCCTGGGATTCGTTTAAAACGTGGGTTCGGTGCCCCGTGTGAGGCAGCCGTCCTGACAGATAAAGATATGCTGGCATTAACTTCCCCTCCTCACCACTCCCCTCCTAGACATCTGTGACAGGTTAATTCTTTGAGCGTTGTAAATACAGAGACAGATGAATTATGCATGTGGGGACATAAAAATAAGCAAGCAATGTGTTTTGTGGTCACAGTAGACCAATATCTTCTTGCACAGCTCCGTGGTTGAGTGCAGGTTTGTTGTCTATAACATATCCATTCTGTCACACGCATGAGTGTTTCATGCTGGAGATTTCTTTTTCAGAGCGTGCACAATGCTTGAAAAGTCGATTTAGAATAATTTCCCAATAGGCGTGCCTATTGCATATCCAATTGCACTGAACATGGCAATGCAAAGTTGTTTTAAAGTAAACATACATGTGCTCTAGTGAAGAGTGGGACTATGTGGAAGTCTGCTATCATATGGTAGAGTTTTAGAGTTTTGTATACTGGGACCATATGTGAGCTCAGGACTCTATGCCTGTCGTATTATAGTTCAGTTTCTAAATGTATTGGTACTGTGAATCAAATTATTTCAATTACTGTAGGGATCCTAGTCTATTTTGATTCTGTCTTTTTTATTTATTAATTTTTATTTTATTTATTTTTTGTCCAGTTATCTATCTATTTTTTGTTGTATTTATGTTGAGGATATTGTAATGTCATCATTGTTGTGTGTGTTGTGCATTACATTTGTTTGTTTTTTTAAGAAACATACATATTGTGGAATTATTGACAATTTTGACAATGTTCAGTACTAAGAGCACAAGTAACTTGAGGACACCATGAAAAACATATTGATATTAATATCATTCTCACAGTATTGTTAGCCCAGTTCCATAACCATTTCTTTATACAAGATAGAATTAGAGCTTTTTTAATACAAGGCTGTCAAACCTTTATCCGCTTGGATATCATACAATCATTATACTCTAAAGACCATGCTCGCATGTTTCACCTCACCTGAAGCTGTTACCGAACTAAAGCTTACACCAGGCACTATCTGTTTAACGATGAATTAAAAAACACTCTTTTAAGAGGCTTTTAGTTTATTTAATTACTTACGGATCAGATACATTTCATTAAGGGGCGTTCATTCTGCTGGGAAATAAGACTATTTAGCAACTACACTATTCTATAATGTATTATTTTCCTCTGAGGAAAGAGTTATTCATCTTATTCATCTTGTTTTAGTTTGGACCCCTTTATAAGTGCCTTCTTTGCATAATGCTGGTGTGGTGTCCAATGCTTGCCTGACCACATTAAATGCGCATCTATCTGTTATTTTTCCTCAGTGACTTTTGATGGGAAAAGCCGAAGCCTTATACGGTTCAGCTCTGTAAAGCAAGCGTGATGAAGTTGCATCTCAGCGGTATTCACCACGACAAGTGACGGAGATATTTTGCAACAGCCCAACCACGAACACGGACCGATTGAACCGTATTAGTTGTGACTCTTATGGCGTTGTATAATGCAGCCACGTCACGCAGGCCTTCGGTGAAGTCTTGTGATGACGAGACATATCCGCCGCTTTGTCTTCAACAGGCACAATAAAACGCATGAATCTTTTATGGGCCACTCTCACTGTTTTGTCTCACACCTCCAGCGCACCCGGAACAATTTGTTATGTCATACTGGCCTGTGTGGCTTTCAGGCCCAAATGAGACAGCAGCGCTTAGGGAGCAGCAGTAATTCAGAGCTTTGTTGAAGCTGACACAGATGACGCGGCACTTCAGTGATAGTCTAATGATTTCATTTACCGAGTCGGCGTGGGGCCTCTTTCTTTGGACTTGGGGCAGAAGCCTCTGCAAGGATTTGTGCCCTGTACGTCTCTTTCTATCTTGGGTAGATGTGTTGCTCTACCCTGGAGTCACGAGAAAGGGTACTAGTGGATTGCTCTGTAATAAAAAAAAAACGAAAAAACTGATTATTTCTATCTTTGTGAGGTTCAAACATGCAATCCTGAGAAATAGTGTCTGCCTCTATTCATATTTCACAAACTAGACAGGATTATTCATAAAATAAACATTTGAATTCCTCAACTGTTTTGGCGTGCTGACTCAGTGTTACAGCCAACATCTCTACTTGGCTACTAAATGACAAATGCTCATTTAACAGAGGAAATTAAACTTGTGTTTCCCTTTGCTATCAAACACTCAACAGTTTTTTCATGTCCCATCATGTCAACTTTTAGCTTGCATATAGGATTTATAGGCCTACCTGTACCGCCGCTACAGCTGTTAACGCTAACAGAAAACAAATTAAAATAGATAACAACACATGCATGCATTTTCTTGATGGTTTTAAGGGGGTTTGAGGTATATTTAGTAATGTAGAATACAAGCATTGAACAGAAAAATAAATGTAACCTCTGTTAGAAATGTAACATACTCAAATTCTAAAGGTTTAATGGTTACCAGAAATAGATTAGGAAAGTAGAAAGAGGAAAACAAAGGGGTGGAGTGGAAGAGAAGGGTACAGAATACAAAAGAAAGAGGGATGCCGGATGAAGTGACGCAGCGAAAGGGAGGGAGATAAAGACGTGAAAGAGTAGGACAGAAAAAGGAGAGGTAGGTGGATGGAGAGGAAAGAATGTTGCCTTTCAAATGCGGAGTAATTTTTACCATACAGGGTGACATTTCAGCAATGCTCCATCCCTGACTTTGGCATTTCAAATGAATAAAAAGCCTCTAATAACAAGGCAGATTCAGGAGATGTAAAGGATGAGCTGATACACTGTGGGCCAGCAGACTGGGCATTTTTTAAAAGTCTAACCTCATTTTTACTCTATCCCAGAGCTTTGATCGGGCCTAAAAAATGAGGCCCGACCCGACCCGTAAAATGAAATATAGCCTATCGGCCTAGGGCCTCTTTGATTACAGTCCAGAGTCGCGGAGTCAAAACACACACAGTCGCTCTTAGAACATTTAACAAACCCAAGGCCTATGTTGTCACTGTTGACAACTAAATCAATGTTGTCCCATACTACCGAATTTTCTGACATTTTCTTGGACAAACTATTCCCTTGTTTCCAACTTCTTCTTTACATTAGCCATTTTTTGTGTTCACACTCTGTAAAGCGACTTTGAGTAGGCTATTATTGTTATTGTTATTATTGTTATTGTTACTTTTATTATTATTATTGTTATTATTATTTCACACCTAGGCTATTTGTGTGATGTGCAGTTGTGCACTTTACTAGCAGCTTACGGCGTGTGAGACAGTGAGAGAAAACAGCAAACGATCCGCTAATTCTAATGTTTTATATTATAATTATTCTAAATCTCAACCTTTTCATTTGTCCCAGCCCGACATTACGGCAGCAGTTTTGGGCCCGAACGGGTCGGGTCGGCCTGGCCCAATCAGGTTCGGGCTGAGAATTAAAGCTCTACTCTATCCCCCCATCCACTCCCCACCCATTCTTTGCGTCCTATTTTTTATCAAATTCTGAGCCGTGACCCCCCTGAATTTGATTCAGAATGGCTGAATGCTGCATCTCTGTCCTCCAATATCCCTTGGTATTCTGAGACTGCACTCGCAACACCCCTTATTGGCAGACCATAATTTGTTCTAAAGCGGCTTATAAGCAGCTGGCATCCAGTCAACGGTCATTCTGTTTTTTTTCTCCCTACATTACATTAAAATTACTTTATATTTTTAACACCTTGAATGTCAATGTCTTAGCGTCATATGAAAAATAATATAGTAAAATCATTTTGGTCTCTCAAAACTCTTGTTTTTCACAGACACAGCCTGTGACAGGCATACACTTTCAGTGGTTTTCTCGTAGCCACAGTCATTTCATATTCTACCGTTTTAAGTGTGTGCATTTATTTGAAACCACTAAAGAGAGACATAAACAAGTGCTGTTAGTTTGCATTTGCTATATTTTTTTTCTTTTTTGGTTGCTCCTCTGATAAGGTGAATGAGAGGAATTCGTCTTGGCTAAGGGTCCTTGTTCCTTTCTACCTGAAATCTATTTCACACATTCCTATTCCTACTCCCTACATCCTTCAGTCAACAAGCTGCCCAGGCACAGAGCACCAATTACAGCTATCCACTCTACCTCAGTGGTGTTCAGCTTCAGCTTGACTAGTAGACCACTACATTGTCGTCATAGTCTCAATCACTTGGCCATTGTCTAATCAGACAGATTTTTTGTCACTTTTTTTTACATTTTAGACATGAAAGCCCCAAAACTGGCATTTCTGTTTCTGTAATTATGTTCTAAATTTAACAATGCCAGATTCCGACTCAAGATTAATTACCAGCCAAATTGTCTTCCAAGTATCAAGTACTTAGTCA